TACATGTCTGCCTGGTATATATTATCTCACTTGACTTCATTTTCCTGTTTTATTGGTCAATGTTCAGTTTTTGTCTAGCCTGCTACGAAAGTCGCAGTATGCGAGACATAGGTATTACTATTCGTCCGTGGCGGCGTAAACTATTTGTATTAAGCTTTATATTTCAGAAGGTAGAAGACCTGGGTGCTGCATACCTTGTATGCAGATACCTTATGTTACGAAGTTTCCGTCTGTCATATGCCCATTGTTCTTGACCTCAATTTCATGGTTCAGTGACTGCTTGAAATTTTTTTTTGTCATGTGAATTTCTCACTTATTATGAGTAATAGGATAAATATATTTGGTATATGGGTTCCTTGCAACGTCTACATGTCTGTCAAACAGGGTTAACCTGACCTCGACCTCAATTCATGGATCGGTGATCAAGGTTAAAGTTATGTGATTAGGTCCGTTTCTCAGATACTACAAGCAGTAGGTCAACTATATATGGTGTAAGGGGTACATGTCAGACTGGCAGGTTTCATCTGACCTTGACCTCATTTTCGTGGTTCATCGGTCATTGTTAATTTTTTGTGTTTTGGGTCTGTTTTGTAAGTACTGTAAGCAATAGGTCTATGGAATGATTGTAAGGTGAATATGTCTGTCTAGCTGGTGTCATCTGACCTTGACCTCATTTTAATGGTTCATTGCTCAATGTTAAGTTTTTGTGTTTTGGTCTGTTTTTCAAGTACTATAAGCAATAGGTCAACTATATTTGGTGTATGGAATGATTGCTAGGTGTACAAGTCTGTCTAGCTGGTGTCAACTGACCTTGACCTCATTTTCATAGTTAATTGGTCATAATTAAATTTTTGTGTTTTGGTCTGTTTTTCAAGTACTGTAAGCAATAGGTCAACTATATTTGGTGTATGGAATGATCGTAAGGTGTACATGTCTGTCTAGCTGGTGTCATATGACCTTGACCTCATTTTCATGGTCCATTGGTCAATGTTAAGTTTATGTGTTTTGGTCTGTTTTTCAAATACTAATAGCAATAGGTCAACTTTAATTGGCGTATGGAATGATTTTAAGGTGAACATGTCTGTCTAGCCAGTATCATCGGACCTTGACCTCATTTCCAGGGATCATTGGTTAACATTAAGTTTTTGTGTTTTGGTCTGTTTTTCGATTACCATAAGCAATGGATCAGCTTTATTTGGTGTATGGAATAATTGTAAGGTGTACATGTCTGTGTGACAGTTTTTATCTGACCTTCACCTCATTGTCATGGATCTTTAAGAATGTTAAGTTTATGTGATACTTGTAGTAAATAAAATTGAGAATGGAAATGGGGAATGTGTCAAAGAGACAACAACCCGACCATAGAACCTTTATCTTTATGACTTTCAACATAAAATCAATGGACAGTAAAACAGGCGAGACATTTCAGCGTGTGCACTCTTGTGTGGTTTGGTCTGTTTCTTTGATACTTAAGTTTTATTACACATACTGGCCATATAACCCATAAAGTCAAAGAACAGTCAAGCCTTTGTACAAATGTTTGCTTGATGCTAAGTATAAATGCATTAACAATAAATACTGTTGAAATAATAATCATGTGTAAATATACAATGTATCAAATGCTGTATTCATTCAAGAATCTTCTACAAAATTCAAAAAATATTATTTTTTGGCAATTAAAAATAATTAGAGTTATGATTTCAAATAACGCTTTATGATATAAAAATGCTAACACATATGGGGTTGCATCATCTTGGGGGAAAGAACACTTATATCAATTAGCCAAACAATGGCCATCTTTTCCCTCAGAGCTACCAAGGTCTTATGTAAAGTTTGAAGGTCTTATAAGTTTATAAAGTTTTTGGTCATAAAGGAATAGCCCGGTAAGACCCCTTTTGTTCCCCAAAATATAGCATTTTTACAAATTTGTTAAAAATGTAAACTTTTGAATATTTATTGGAAAGCAGAATACTTTTGTTACATAAATATGGGCTATTTTTGACAATACATAATGCTCATGCATCAAGTACTAGCATCATTAATTCATGCAAAATTACTGAAATCTTCACAATTTTAGCATTTGTGCAAATATTTAGACTGTTTTTGTCTAAAATGGAGGTGGCTGCACTTGTGTTCAGTTTTGATATTTAAATATGTTGTATTTGATAATAATTCATGAAATATATAAAGGTTGAGACTGAACACGATGTGGCCACTTACATTTTAGACAAAAACCATCTGAGAAGTGACGTTTTATGGCATATTTGATAGATTTTTCATATTTAAGCTTGAATTTGAGTGTCTTAAATGACCAAATCAGTTCAAATCTTTTACATAAACTAATTGAATTGACTGAAGAAGACACTTAAGTGTTTAAAAAATGTAAAATATCTTTCATCAGATGTACTTAAATTTTAGGCCAAAATAAGCCCTCATTAGTTAAATGCAACTTTTCCTCCCCCAAAAAATTAGTTATAATTCATTTATATTTTTTAGAAAAATTTCATTTTCCTAATTGGTCATTCTCCCTTATTTGCATAAAACGGCCAATTGATAAATAAAGTCCTTTGTAATACCACAATAATTAATGAATGTATTACAGACTGTTTACAGGAATAGAAACTTTCCTACAAAATATAAATCATTTGAATTTTTTTTTATGTGCCTTTCTGAGTTTTGTGTTAACTCCTTTTACAAAACTGGGGAAATCTTTGTTCTTCATAATCAGACATTATATATTTAACTGTCAATACTTTCAGAGAAGTTTATCATAACTAACTGTTCAGAAGAAAACAAACTATAATTATGTTTGGTAATTAATTTTACTATGACTACCAAAAAGGTTATTTGGTATTTAGAATATGCCAACGTGTTCATTTTTGTCGTGCCTTGACAGAGTCAAAAAGCAAGACTTAGGTATACTGTTTCCAACAGCTTTGTAGGCAGCATCAACAATGTATTAGTTTGTGATTAGGTCAGTATATGGGTGACCACCAGTGGAAGGACAATCATATTTGGTATGCAGATGCATTAGCAATGGCTCATCTCGATTCCATGGAGGTAATTTGGCGCCACCTCCTCAGTCATGGTCTATTGACTTAGAATGTTTTGCATAGTTTACATGTAAAAGTTTGTGATAAGATCATGTTTAGTCAATATAATGATATTTTGTATGCAGTTGTATTGGTATTTACAAGTCATCTTTTCCATAGAGATTATTTGTCCCCACCCCCATATCATGGTTCATTCATTGACTTTAAAACTTTTACATTGTTTGTGTTTAGATTAGTGGAAAGGGAGCCACTTATGATATTTCCATGGAGTGTATGCATAAATTTTCGCGGAATTTATTTTCACGATTTTCATTTATCCGCCAAAATAAGCAGAAATGAACACCACGCGAAAATATCCCGCTTTACGGTATTTGGTCCTGCATCTTAAGTCATGGTTCAATGACTTTTATAGCAGAATATACGGTATGGGTTTTTCCTGGTGTTGAAGGCTGTACGGTTGCCTATAATTGCTTACATCCACTTCATTAGAACTTTTGTGATAGATTTTCTCATTGGCAATCATACCACATCTCCTTATTTTTATATTGGAATGATTTGCATACTGTGAAAGTACTTTTATTTGTGGGTATCATTTTTTGTGGTTTGAGTAAAAGTTACATTTTTTTGGGGTCTTGAATTCGTGGCTCTCAGTTTTCTAAAGAAAAAAATTAAGGAAAGAATTTGAAGCAATCAGAAATGAAGATTCTTGAAAATAATCATACTTGGATGGAGAGTTGTCTCATTGGCACTCATACCATATCTTCTTATATCTATATATGTTGTTTTATAATGATTTGTGAGACATTGCAAAATAAGGTATTCGTTTTCACTTACTTGTTCGTCTTTCATTACTGATAACATTCATCAAATTTTTAATAAAATTGATTTCATAAATAGTCTGATACATCTATGCTTTCAAATTGTCTTGATTGAAGGAAATTGCAAAGTAAACATTTTAATAATTGCAAGGGTACTAAGAAGTGATGACACTAATTAACCGAGATAGAATGATCAACAGATTAAGGATCATCAATTGTGTTAATTGGGTCATAAACATGTCACTAAAGCAAACGGTTACATAAAAAAATGCTACAGATGTACTTTGAAATGTAGAATTAATTCAAAATGAAATGAAAAAGCAAGCCCAATATGATTTTTTGTCGAGCATGAGACTTCTGTCCGTAAAACTAGACTTAGGGATATTGATCTTGCGGCGGCATTACCTAACTTCTTAAAAGCTTAATATTTCAGAAGGTAGAAGACCTGGATGCTTCATACTTTTTATATAGATGCCTTATGATATGAAGTTTCTGTCTGTCATATGTCAATTGTCCTTGACCTCAATTTCATGGTTCTGTGACTACTTGAAAAAAAAGTTAAGATTTTTTGTAATGTTAATTTCTCTCTTATTATGAGTAATAGGATAACTGTATTTGGTATGTGCTTACCTTGCAAGGTAAATATGCCTGTCGGGCAGTTTTCACTTGACCTCAACCTCATTTCATGGATCAATGAACAATGTTAAGTTTTCGTGGTCAAGTCCATATCTCAGATACTATAAGCAATAGGTCTACTATATTTGGTGTATGTGATGATTGTAAGGTGTTCATGTCCAACTGGCAGGTATCATCTAACCTTGACCTCATTTTCATGGTTCTGTGGTAAAAGTTAAGTTTTTGTGTTTTGGTCTGTTTTTCTAATACTGTATGCAATTGGTCAACTATATTTTGTGTATGAAAATATTTTAGGATGTACATGTCAGTCTGGCAGATTTTATTTGACCTTGACCTCATTTTCATGGTTCATTGCTCAATGTTAAGTCTTTGTGTTTTGGTCTGTTTTTCTAATACTGTATGCATTAGGTCAACTATATTTGGTGTATGGGAATAATTTATGATGTACATGTCAGTCTGGTAGGTTTTCTTTGACCTTGACCTCATTTTCAAGGTTCATTGGTCAGTGTTAAGTTTTTGTCGAGCCTGCGACTTTTGTCGCAGAAAGCTCGACATGGGGATAGTGATCCGGCGGCGGCGGCATTAGCTTACTTCTTAAAAGCTTTATATTTTAGAAGGTGGAAGGTCTGGATGCTTCATACTTTGTATATGGATGCCTCATGTTATGAAGTTTCCGCCAGTCACATGTCCAATGTCCTTGACCTCATTTTCATGGTTCAGTGACTACTTGAAAAAAAAGTTAAGATTTTTTGTAATGTTAAATTCTCTCTTATCATAAGTAATAGGATAACTATATTTGGTATGTGCGTACCTTGCAAGGTCCTCATGCTCGTCAGACAGTTTTCACTTGACCTCGACCTCATTTCATGGACCAGTGAACAAGGTTAAGTTTTGGTGGTCAAGTCCATATCTCAGATACTATAAGCAATAGGTCTAGTATATTCGGTGTTTGGAAGGACTGTAAGGTGTACATGTCCAACTGACAGGTGTCATCTGACCTTGACCTCATCTTCATGGTTCAGTGGTTATAGTTAAGTTTTTGTGTTTTGGTCTGTTTTTCTTATACTGTATGCAATAGGTCTTCTATATTTGGTGTATGGAATGATTGTAAGGTGTACATGTCTAGTGGGCAGGTGTCATCTGACTTTAACCTCATTTTCATGGTTCAGTGGTTATAGTTAAGTTTTTGTGTTTTGGTCTATTTTTCTTATACTGTATGCAATAGGTCTTCTATATTTGGTGTATGGAATGATTGTAAGGTGTACATGTCTAGTGGGCAGGTGTCATCTGACCTTAACCTCATTTTCATGGTTCAGTGGTTATAGTTAAGTTTTTGTGTTTTGGTCTGTTTTTCTTATACTGTATGCAATAGGTCTTCTATATTTGGTGTATGGAATGATTGCAAGGTGTACATGTCTAGCGGGCAGGTGTCATCTGACCTTAACATCATTTTCATGGTTCAGTGGTTATAGTTAAGTTTTTGTGTTTTGGTCTGTTTTTCTTATACTGTATGCAATAGGTCTTCTATATTTGGTGTATGGAATGATTGTAAGTTGTACATGTCTAGCGGGCAGGTATCATCTGACCTTGACCTCATTTTCATGGTTCAGTGGTCAAAGTTAAGATTTTGAGTTTTGGTCTTTTTTTCTAATACTATATGCAATAGTTCAAATATATTTGGTGTATGGAAATATTTTATGATCTATTTGTCAGTCACGCAAGTTTTATTTGACCTTGACCTCATTTTCAAGGTTCATTGCTCAGTGTTAAGTTTTTGTGTTTTGGTCTGTTTTTCTTAAACTATAAGCAATAGGTCAACTGTATTTGTTGTATGGAAGAATTGTCAGCTGTACATGCCTGCCTAGCATGGTTCATCTGACCTTGACCTCATTTTCATGGTTCATTGGTCAATATTTAGTTTACTTGGTTAATGTTAAATTTATGTGACAGTTGTAATAAAGCTTTATATTTAGGACTATCAACATAATATCAATGATTAGTAAAGAAGGCGAGACATTTCAGTGTGTGCACTCTTGTTGTGTTTTGGTCTGTTTTTCTTCAACTTTAAACAATAGCTCAACTATATTTGATGTATGGAATAATTGTAAGGCGCATATGTCTGTTTGGCAGGTATCATCTGACCTTCACCTCATTTTCATGGTTCATTGGTCAATGTTCAGTTTTCCTGGTTAACTTTGTTTCTTAGATACTATAAGCAATAGATCAACTATATTTGATGCATGGAATGATTATATTAAAGGTGTACATGTATTTCAGGCTTGATTTATCTGACCTTGGACCTCATTTTCTTGGATCATAAATGTTATTGTGGTACTTGTAGTAAAACTTTATATTTAGGATTATCAACATAAAATCAATGGTCAATATAGTAGGCAAGATATTTCAGCATGTGCACTCTTGTTTTTGTATGAGAATTATATGGAGGTAAAATGAACACTTAAATCTTTGAACATTGTTTTTATTGGTATAAATATTGATTTTGTTATCAGTAAATTAAAACTATACTAAATATTACACATATGTACTTTCACAGTACTACAATCTGTCGATATCTATATTTTGGCATTGCACAAGGTCATATTTTTCTCTAACTTTTAATGACGTCTTTACACTAAATCCATTGGATGTTGGATGTTTACTGATTGATATTTTAGTCTAAGATACATGATTTTTTTTACTAGTTGTTATTTTATTTGAACTAGCTGTCAGTAACTGTGAGTACTCTCAGATCTGTACTTAGTGTCTTTCTTGTTGTTAGGGATGAGGGATGGATATATACCCTGCCATGTCCTGTCTGTGTTTTGTTTGATGTTTTTCTTTGTTTCGATTTGATGAGTTCAGTCTTTTTTAACTGATTTTTATAATTTGTTTTTTATGTTGTGCTGTTACACCACTGTCCCAGGTTAGGGTGAGGGTTGAGGGCTAACAAACAGTTTTAACCCTGCCACATTCTTTATGTGCCTGTCTCAAGTCAGGAGCCTGTAGTTCAGTGGTTGTCGTTGGTTGACATTTGTCATATTTGTTTTTCGTAAATTGTTTTGTTATAAATTAGGCCGTTAGTTTTCTCAATTGAATTGTTTCATATTTTTTTAAGTGAAAATAACCCACTATATGGTATTTGGTCCTGCATCTTAAGTCATGGTTCATTGACTTTTATAGCTGACTATACGGTATGGGTTTTTCACATTGTTGAAGGCCGTATGGTTGCCTATAACTGCTTACATCGACTTTATTTGAACTTTGGTGGATAGTTGTCTCGTTGGCAATCATACCACATCTCCATATTTTTATACTTCATCAATGAATATCATCATCGGAAGTCTGACTTTCATCGATCCAAACTAATTTTTCATGATAACTTAAAAGTTAAAAGTCGTACAATTAAGACTTTTTAAAGATTAGATGGGTAAAATCCAGTCTGAAGTTATACATATACAGTTCATAGTGCGTTTGCTTGTATACGATGTATTCTCTAGACATGCCAGTATCAATATAGTAAAACCTACACGGGGATCTTTCCATGTCTTGATTTTGACAACAGTTGTTATATTTCGTTGGACACTTAAATTTGTGAATAAAGCCATCCACGAAAACCACAAAAATTGGTACCCCACGAATAAAAGTACTTTCACAGTAGTTTACATGTTTAAATATTGCCATTTGGATTATTATATGCATTATACTATCAAAATTACAAAAAGGTGAGACATTGTATCAACAGTTTATTAACAAATATAAGCATCTGCATATATACATATATTATTTACCATATGGTATCAAGCTAGGAGAACGTACTGGTATTTTATGTTTTTATTCAACTTACAAAAGTACAGATTTATACAAAATATAAAGAAATTAAAAAAAGGGTATTAATGAAAAATACAATTGAATTCATCAGAATGTCAATAGACATCAATGAGATGTACATGTAGGATAATAATGATCATCAATGCTATACAAGTTATCAATCAATCCCAGTTTATATAACATTATCATAAATGTTGAAATTCCTATACATATTCAGTTTAAAAAACAATTGCAAATAGTTTGCATAAACTTGCCCATTATAAGGTCTATTCCGGGATGTGTATGTGATATTGTTTTTAATTATGTCAACACTATATACATGTATCCACTTTTTACTATTCTGTAGATAATGGACTTAATTTTTCATCACTGCATGAATTAAGTTCATACAGGTGTAAAATATTGCATTTTTTTCTAAGATGTAAAAGCAAATTTATTCTGCCATAAAAGTAAAGCCTGTAGCTATAATATGATTTAAGAAAACCTCACATGAACAGGATTAGACACATGACTTTGCTAAATTTAAGTTTTGACCACATTTTGGCTTTGTATAATAATTCAAATCTGATATTTTCACAATTTAGATTTGATATTTTCACAATTTAGATTTGATATTTTCACATCTCCACTAAATGATTTTGAAATAAGTATTGCCAAATAAACAACTTTTGCATTGTAAATGGAATTTACTGAAAACTTTTGTGCAATTTCACAATTCCAATTGTTTCATCTACTTCTTGAAAAAATGTACAAACAACTACAATTTTCATACTGGATGGAGAAATTAGTATAGTTAGTACTATTATTTGGCCCCTGAAATTTCAAAAATAGTTATATTATTAAAGCCTTTCAAGCTTATTATGTTGATCTTATTGATAAACAAACATTTAAGTTAATATAATCTGGACTATGCAGTGCAGAAAGATCACTTCTGACGTCAGTATGATGTCATAAACATGCTGAAATTGACATATGTTGCCTAAAATTGCCATTTAACTCATAATTTAGGACAAAATAGATATGAGCCAAGGCTTTATCGAAAAAAGATATTTTACAACATTAACACCTTTGTGAAATACATCTGGTGGCCAAATATCTTTTTGGTAAAGCATTTTCGCATATCTAAATGTTAATAACATTATCTCAAAATAAAAATTAAATATAGTTTTACACTAATATTAGTCTTAATCATAATACATTTTGTATTCTTTGAAAAATATATGAAAACTAAATGATGATATCAAAAGCATAATTACTGGATGTTAAGATACCAACAATCAATCAATCAAAAGCATAATTATGAATATGAACATTGTTATAGTTTTGAATTATGTAGATTGAAAAAAAGATGTCACCCCACCTTTACTTAGTGTCAGTCACATTAACATCATAGTAGATGGAGGTTCACCAGTACAAAAGTATTCTCATTTGCAAAATCATTAATGAATAATTATCATTACGGTTTCATTAGTATTTTATAGGATCATAAGTTTTATACAGACGTTTGATTGGACTCATTTGTCATACAAAAACTATTTTCATCTGTATAGGACAACTCATTAAAAGACACATAAATATCCAACTACTATATATATATATATATATATATATATATAAAGACAAAGAAATTTTGTTTGTTAAGTTAGTTTATTGTTTGTACATCTATTAAATTATAAATTTATTATGAATGAAAATACATAGTGAATAACATCAAAATTTTATTCACATGTGTCTATAACAATGTGATCACTGACACACTCCTCCAACTCAAACTTTCATTTTTGCAACAAGATGTCATGGAAGACAAATCTGGTCTGCAATGATTTTTTTTTCGAACAATTATTTACTAGCTGTTTACATAACTTTCTCCTTAGATGAACCAAATTTGAATATATGGAGATTGTTTTGGTGAGACCTTGTCATCTAAGACCTTTATCTTATGTTCACATTCCAGAGGTCTGAACAAGTTTAAAATAAAAACAAAAGAAATGCAGTATGATTGCCAATGAGACAGTTATTTATTAGAGACCAAAGGATGTGGGTGTAAGCAACTATAGGTTACCATACAGCTTTCAAAAATGAGCAAAACCCATACTGTATTGTCCCAAAGGTCAGGGCAAGTTTAGTTTTCTGGATAGGGTCTGTTCATCAGCAACAACATGTGACAAATTAATAATACATTTTGTATATCATATACAGTAAAAGACTCATTGCAAGTGGGCATTCAAGGGGATGTATAATATGCAGTCAGAAGATTTAAAAAATTTAAATTCATTGCCTTGTATTGGGAAAGTGCCACTCTCTTTGCCTGTTAAAGTACCCCTGTGATAACCTATGAGGGGTCTGTCAGTGACGTATTAAAAAGGCAAAATATCTACTTCTATCCAACACATCTACTTTCTTTTTGTTCCTTGACCTGGAATAATATTACATGAAAGATATTCATGTGAAACAGAAAACAGAACCATGGATAACCGAGGAGATTTTAGACAATATTCATCAGAGACTCTTACCACTAGCAACTTTTAAAAAATCTGAAAAAAATGAAGACTATAAATCATATTGTAAATTACATAATTTAGTGCAAAATCAATGTAAGACAGCAGCAAAAGCTGATTATTTTAACGACAGCATTGACGAAAACAAAGGATATCAACAAAACACTAAATCTGATTGCACTGTCATTCTTAACATTGAAGGAGAGAATTGTTTTGATAATGTTAAAATAGCCAACCAGTTTAATAACTTTTTTACCACCATTGCTGCAAAGTTGGTTGAAAAACTACCGAATCCTAAAAAGATTTTTCTATTTAATATTGTGATAAAATTTTATGACATAAGAAAAACAAATGAAAATGTATTAAAGTTAAAACATATTTCTGAAGATTTTGTATTTAAAGAGTTGTGTAATCTAAACATTACAAAAAGCACAGGTTTAGATGGTATACCAGCCAAGTTTTTAAAAGACTCAGCTCCTATTATTAATATTCCTATTACTTTTTTAATAAATATGTCTATATCAGAAGCAACTGTGCCTGATGATTTAAAGCTTGCTAAAGTAAAAACCTCTTTTCAAGAAAGGGGATCGATTTAGAAACTTATTTTCTACCTATAGCTGTCTCATACATTTAACAGATCATATAAAATCAAAAACTGCCAAATATAAATAAGAACATGTGGTATGAGTGCCAATGAGTCAACTATCCATCCATGTCACAATGTGTAAAAAGTAGACAATTATAGGTCAAAGTACAGCCTTCAACACGGAGTCTTGGCTCACACCAAACAGCAAACTATAATGGGCCCCAAAAAGACTAGTGTAAAAAAATTCAAACAGGAAAACCAACTGTCTAATCTATATAAAAAACGAGAAACACTTATGAACCACACCAACAAATGACAACCACTGAACAACAGGCTCATGTCTTTTTACTGGCATGGTTTTACTCGATCTACTTAAGGCATTTGATTCGGTTGATCACAAAGTATTATGTGATCAGCTTAATGTGATAGGAGTTAGATCTGTAGAATGGTTTTACTCATATTTGAAAAACAGGAAACAAATTGTTAATATTAACAAAACAAAGTCTGAAGTGTTTGATGTAACTTGCGGTGTACCCCAAGGTAGTATACTGGGACCGCTTTTGTTTTTAATATATGTGAATGATTTAAAAGTTAGCATTGATCCTGATTGTAAGGTTTTATTATTTGCTGATGATACAGCTATTCTTTTTTCACATTCAGATCCAAAAATAATTTCTAGAAGGCTATCACTTATGTTAAAATTATGTAAAGATTGGCTTGTTGATAATAAATTGTCTCTTCATTTAGGAAAGACTGAAAGCATTTTATTTGGACCAAAGAGAAAACTTCAAAATGTTAATGAAATTGATTTTTCTATTGAATGTGATAATATTAAAAATGAGAGTAAATCAAATGTGAAATATTAAGGTATCATTTTGGACAAATTTTTATCTGGTGAACAAGTTGTTGATAATATAATATAGAAGGCTAATCAGCGACTTAAATTTTTATATAGATATAAAGAATGTTTGTCTCAACAATCTAGAAAAACATTGTGTACTGCATTAATACAATGCCATCGTGATTATGCATGTGCCTGTTGGTATGAAGGCTTATCCAAGAAACTTAAAGACAAGCCTTAGGTTATTCAAAATAAAGTTATACAGTTTATACTATATCTTCATCAGAGAAAACCAATCCCTGTAAATGAATTTGAAAAATTCGGATTATTGAATGTTTGTAACAGAGTGAAACAATTTCGTCTGAATCATGTATTTAATGTTTTTCACAACAAATGTACAGAATACTTAAAAAATGATTTTTCAAGAACTTCCTCGAATAGGAATACTAGAACAACTGCTTACAATTTTTATGTTCCAAATGTCAAAGGTGTAGAATCTTCTTCCTGTTTTAGTGGTATTAAAAACTGGAATGCTTTGCCAGATTATGTAAAAGGTATTCATGTGAATTCAAAAATAAAATTTAAGTATGAAGTAAAAAAACACCTAATGAGTAAACTCAGGTCAATGTCATGCAGATTTTATATTTTATTAGATTACTTTTTATGCGAATGTTTTAAGCTGTGATTCATGGATACTATTTATTGCTGTAAAACTGAATGATAAATTATTTATTTTATTATCAAGACTATAAGGACCCTGGGTCATCCTTGGGTTAATGCATGAAAGCCCTGACCTCAATATTGGAATTTGTTTTTTTGTCTAGCCTTGACGGAGTCATTAAGTGAGACATAGGTATGCTGTTTGCAGCGGCAGCAACAATGTATTATTTTGTGATTAGGTCTAGTTTATGATGAACCACTAGTTGTAGGTCAATGATATTTGGTATGCAGTTGCATAAGCATTGGCATATCTCATTTCCATGGAGATTATTTGGCTCCACTCCCTCAGTCATGGTCTATTGACTTTGAAACTTTTGCTTAGTTTACATGTATTAGTTTGTGATTAGGTCAGTTCAAGGGGAACAATTAGTGGAAGGCCAATTTTAATTGGTATTCAGTTGTATAAGTATTAGCACATCTCATTTCCATGGAGAATACTTGGCCCTGTTCCCTCAGTCATGGTCTAATGACTTTGAAACTTTTGCTTAGAAAAAATGAGGGTTTATCATTTCAACATGTCAGACGCCAAATGACTAGTGTGGCAAATGGGATTAAGAGCCAAATTATCTGGAATCATACTGATCATATGATAATGCATCTGTTTGGCAGAATTTGCATGTTTAAGATATTTCATAAAAGCAGAACCAATGCAATTTTTGCTGAGAACAATGTTTACAATGTTTAAATATTTATTGTCCCCTGCATGTTGCCCCACGGAGGATATGGTTATAGTCTCCTTCTATCTGTCCATCTGTGTTCATCCATCCGCCCTTCCCTTCTGTCACAAACACATCAATTCTTAGAGAACATTTGACTAAAAGCTACATACTCGTTAGGACTATTTGTTGTCATATTCTCTTCACCATGCTATATTGCCTGATTTGACAATTTTTATGGGACTTTGACTTTTTTTTTTAGTATTGTGACAAAACACCTTGTGGATACAACTCCTCTGAGACAATATGACAGAAAGCTCTCATACATTGTACTTTTTTGGCCATCATGTAAAGTTAAACAATATTATACCGTCATTTTTAATTGAGCAATTTTGTTTATTATTAACTGCAATTTCGTACACAATTAGATACATCTTTGCATCATAGTACGTAGTATGAATATTTGTGACATCACAGAATTCAGAATACTCAAATGTCGGGAGAATGTCACATTCAAAATGCATACAAAATGCATGCAAATAAACACAAATTCATTTCTGCTTGAAAGATTTCCTATCTAAATTTAATCTGTATAATCTTAACTTTATCTATTCAGTTGAATCCTTAAAATTGTCAAATTAGTTTCTCTCAGTATTATAGATATACCTGTAGACAGAGTTTCCCATAGAAGCCAATCAAAATGGTATACCGGTAGTATTGCTAGAAAAGTGTTGTCCTCATTTTGTAGAGAGAAAACATGTACATTGACAATATCTTTACAAACATATATGACATTGTTTTATTTTACCAGCCTACTACATATTGTAATTGATTATTCCCTACACTGGGAAGAAGATTGAGTATAGTGTTTTACCCTTCAGTCTGTCTGTCATCTTGGTTCCTGATGATATATCAAATACCTTATGTCAAATTATCCTCTTACTTGGATAGATTGTCACATGTAATGAGCAGATTTCTCCAGGACCTTACATGGGATTGGAACCAAAGTTAGATATATGGTTATATATTAGGAGTGAGGGAGAGAGATCTGGATTGGTTTTTCTAGCTTGATACATCCAAGGTCAAGATCACAATTACTAGAAATGGACTGAAATTGTGAATATTAGGGACATTACTATGGCATGGGATATTGTGATCTTGCTTTCTATGGTTATTTATTTTTTACAAAAATTTTACACTCATTGACTTAATTTACTATCCACAGAAACCATTATAAATTACTGTGGATTAACTTTGTGGTTATCCATTTTTAGTGATTAAGGAAAAGTTGAATTTTCAAGGCTATTTGATTACTTATTTTTTACAAATTCTGCATACAAATCTATCATTCTTTGAAGACTTGATTTTGTGGTTAACCTATACCTATGAAATACATGAACATTAGAACCACACACATAATAATGAAACCACAGTATCATGTCTTAATGTGGCATCTAAGTACCTCAGGCAGTAAATTTTCATTGTATTTATCATGAGGATGGTGTTTATACAGTCTAGGGTTAAAGTTTTTTTGAGACATCGATAACTTTGTCAAATCTTCATTGAATTTTGTGAAACTTGGAGAGAAGCTTTTTAATGGTCAAAAGACAATCCCAGAGCACAATTGTGAAGTTATTTTTTTAATTTTTTTTTTTTTTTTTTTTTTATATCTGATAATGGAATGAGTTTTTTTTAACAGTTATGATTTAGATACCATCTTGGGTTTAAGTTTTTTAGACATCATTAACTTTGTCTGACCTTCGTAGAATTAATTGAACTTGGATTGACACTTCTTTATTATTACATGTATTATGTGAAAGTGTATGAAGCAAAATTTTGAAAATTTATTTTATTCATTTTCCCTCTTTTGCTGATAGATGGACTTATTTTTCTTGCAGTTAACATTAACATACATTCTTGGGTTAAACCTTTTAAGACATTAATAGCTTTTGCAAACTTTCATGGAATTTTACAAAACTGTGATAGTAGGTTCTTCAAGATCAATAAATAGCATCTTAAGGAAATGTCTGAAATTGTTTTGTTGCTTTTTTGTATTATAAATGAACTCTTTATGGAATATATATTTTCCAGTTGGAACAGTAAGTGCATGTATGCAGTGACATCTCAGATTTCCAAGAATGTAACATGAGGGTACCCAAATTGCACCTATTTTGACAGTTTTTGCTCAGGGGGTTCACGCTTATATATTGGCGAGTTTTGGAAGTGTCTATGGGCCACTCGATATCCTTGGAATCACGATTCTCGGAATGTCTCGAATATTTTCCATCATTTATAAAGGTACCGGTAGTTATTTATGTCTTTGATACGGTCCCTCTATGAATAGGCTACAACGTGACATTGTATATTTCAACAATCCGGCAAACGGTTCATTTGTAGATTTGAAAGTAAAACAATAAAGACGGTTGCATTCTAAAAATCATTTATATGTTAGAACCTATTTGCCTTTTGACAAAACATATATGTTTTTAATAATGTGAATGTTTATTAAATATCAAGTATAATGATAAAGCAATTATATAATTCATGCTTTCAATCATGGCATGAGAAAATGTCGGAAAAAATTAAGAAAATTAAGAAAACGATATTTCTGTTAAAAATATTTATCTAAGGTTGGAAACACAGTGGTCAGAAAGCAGAAAGATAATCAAACAAAAGGATTTTTCTGTAAAAAAATATCTTATTTCATTAATAGATACTACCACACTAAGAGAATATTCATTGTTAAGGTAAAACTGAGACTGAATTTATTCCTAATAATTATAGAATATAATTAAAATTGTAATGTATACGTGCATTATGTCTCACAGGTTTGATCAATCATTACATTTATGAAAATTATATGTAAAGTATGAGCACCATTGAGCAGGGATGCGTACCCAAAGTAAGCTAAATATCTAAATTTTAAACGGTCATGAATGAAAAAATACTTGTGTGGTTTCAATTCACAAGGATTTTAAATCCTTGCATCTTACAAAATACGTAATTAATATTTTACAATAATGATAACAAAATTTAATTACTATCATAATGTTAATTACTTTTTTTCTTTTTTTTTCCTTTTATTAGTTCAACCTTATAGCATCTAAATATTTGTACTATGGTACAGTTTTGAAAATTGTATTCATTGTGTTGGTCAGCTATCCTACACGTCTTGATTTATTCACATTTTACATCACACTGTTCACACGCACACTATCAGTTTGCGTTCACAAAAATTCCGGATAAAATGTCAATGAATCCGGAGTCAAAACACTTGAGGTAGGTAGTTTGGCATTCAACTATTAGATTAATATATGTGTTGACGCAAATGCGTATTCTTATCCAGAGTATCAGTGCTTATGCTTTCTATTTACTATTTCTTGGGCAATATTACCACTTTCATGCATAAATATTAATTTCACTTGCGAATGCGAATTTTCGCTTTTCTTATCTAAATTCAGGACACAGCAATAAGAGCTTGCCATGTGACTTTCAAGCACGGTCATCATTGCATACGGTATTCTGACCTCTAGCTATTTCTCTTTCGTTTTCTTTTTTGAGTCACTGTCCTTTTATAAACTTTGACATTTTTGAAATGCCAAGGATTTTCTACCCAAGGAATAGATTACTTAACTTCGTACTTTATTTGGCCTTTTTAACTATTTTTATTCGAGCGTCACTGATGATACTTTGTAGACTTAACTCATGTCTGGCGTACATGTTAATCCTCGTATCTTTTTATATCTACATGTCTTTTTATTAGGGATGTCAACGAGTACTCTAGTATTCGAGTATAGCTCAGTAGTACAGAGTATCGAATACCAAATTGGTTTCCTGTTAGAATTATGCTGCTGTCTTTATATAAAATTAATCTTTTTGAGAACCTCTCGGAAAAATTAAATAGGCATCACTGATTTATCATACAAGTAAATGAAATACATTTTGTTTTGAATGCTTGTGCTAAATTGTCACTTAAAATGCATCCGAAAATAGCTATACCTAGGTTTACATTTTAAACTAGCATGTCTTAGCCATTCCGTCACATCAGTGCCATCAGAGAAATATTTTCATCTGCAAGACTGTAATTTTACAAAGTTGCATAACCGGCTTTCACCAATAATAGTTGACAAGAAAAATAAATTCTTTGCATTCTCTGGTAACCCTCAGTGAATAGTTCAACTTCTAATCGTATGCCTTTGTGAACATTAGATGTGTTTTCTTAACGATTACCAAATACTATTGTTTGATATGGCTTTTCTTTGTTATAATTTTTGCAGAAAGCTCGACATAAGGATAGTGATCCGGTGGCGGCTAAGCTAACTTTTTAAAAGCTTTATATTTTAGAAGGTGGAAGATCTGGATGCTTCATACTTTGTATATAGATGCCTCATGTTATGAAGTTTCCGTCAGTCACATGTCCAATGTCCTTGACCTCATTTTCATGGTTCAGTGACTACTTGAAAAAAAAGTTAAGATTTTTTGTAACGTTAAATTCTCTCTTATTGTAAGTAATAGGATAACTATATTTGGTATGTGCGTAACTTACAAGGTCCTTATGCCCGTCAGACAGTTTTCACTTGACCTCGACCTCATTTCATGGATCATTGAACAAGGTTAAGTTTTGGTGGTCAAGTCCATATCTCAGATACTATAAGCAATAGGTCTAGTATATTCGGTGTATGGAAGGACTG